CAATCCCTCACTTCGCTGGCTACCATGCAGTGACGGCCTAGGCATGGCAGCCTGCGCAGTGAGGGATTGTGCAATCCAAGGTGAGGCTCAGCTCATCGCTGCCTCACTGGCTTCTCTTCCAAGCATTTGAATCGGAAATTGCGAAAATTCTGTGATTTTATTGAAAAATAAATACTTTCTAGTGCAAATCACTGAATAAATATAAGCATTTAAATTATTTAGTACAGACCAAAAGTTTGGACACACCTTCTCGTTCAATGACTTTCCTTTCTTTTCATGACTATTGACATTGTAGATTCACACTGAAGGCATCAAAACTATGAATTAACACGTGGAAATATGTACTTAACAAAAAAAGTGTAAGTATAAAACAACTGAAAATACGCCTTATATTCTAGTTTCTTCAAAGTAGCCACCTTTTGCTGTGATTACTGCTTTGCACACACTCTGCATTCTCTTGATGAGCTTCAAGAGGTAGTCACCTGAAATGGTTTTCACTTCACAGGTGTGCCCTGTCAGGTTTAATAAGTGGGATTTCTTGCCTTATAAATGGGGTTGGGACCATCAGCTGTGTTGTGCAGAAGTCAGGTGGATACACAGCTGATAGTCCTACTGAATAGACTGTTAGAATTTGTATTATGGCAAGAAAAAAGCAGCTAAGTAAAGAAAAACGAGTGGCCATCATAACTTCAAGAAATGAAGATCAGTCAGTCTGAAAAATTGGGAAAACTTTGCAAGTGTCCCCAAGTGCAGTCGCAAAAACCATCAAGCGCTACAAAGAAACTGGCTCACATGAGGACCGGCCCAGGAAAGGAAGACCAAGAGTCATCTCTGCTGCGGAGGATAAGTTCATCCGAGTCACCAGCCTCAGAAATCGCAGGTTAACAGCAGCTCAGATTAGAGACCATGTCAATGCCACACAGAGTTCTAGCAGCAGACACATCCCTAGAACAACTGTTAAGAGGAGATTGTGTGAATCAGGCCTTCATGGTAGAATAGGTGCTAGGAAACCACTGCTAAGGACAGGCAACAAGCAGAAGAGACTTGTTTGGGCTAAAGAACACAAGGAATGGACACTGGACCGGTGGAAATCTGTGCTTTGGTCTGATGAGTCCAAATTTGAGATCTTTGGTTCCAACCACCGTGTCTTTGTGCGACGCAGAAAAGGTGAACGGATGGACTCTACATGCCCGGTTCCCACCGTGAAGCATGGAGGAGGAGGTGTGATGGTGTGGGGGTGCTTTGCTGGTGACACTGTTGGGGATTTATTCAAAATTGAAGGCATAGTGAACCAGCATGGCTACCACAGCATCTTGCAGCGGCATGCTATTCCATCCGGTTTGCATCTAGTTGGACCATTGTAGCCCAGGTGAAAAATGTACTTTACTAAAGAGATGTGGAAAAAACATTATTTTCTTTGTTTTATCATATTACATCAGCGAGAAATGAAATACCCCACTGCACACAAAGGCATCACCCAGCACATAATCCCACGTGGGACCACGTAGCCTCAGCAGCCAATCACAGATTGCACAGTCTGCATTCAACAATCAGCTCGGATGCAAGACGATTCAGGCGCTCTTTTCATTTCCGGCTCAGAAATTAGCCGCGAGAGCACGCAGAGGACGGACGAAGAGAAACCATTTGGTGAGAAACTAAAAGAGGAGTCATAAAAGATCAGTGACGGCTGTAAACCGGGAGGCAAGCGACCCAACGTCGGGAGACGAGTTACGTCGGTAAGACGAGTCGGATATCTGTGGAGAAAAGGAGAGATGCTTGTTAATACTTACCGCCGTTTTCATGCTAACGCTAGCTCGGTGTCTCACAGGCTAGCTTCTAACCATCCGTCTTGTGAGCTGTGGCAGCGCCGGAGTCAACGTGCGCCCAGCTTTGAACACAGAGCAACGGTGAGAATGTAGTCACTGTTACTATGTTTTAGCATCATGTCTCTGTGGATCCTCAATGTGCTAAAGACAGCTATATGATTTTCAAGACTGGGAGTAAATTGAGGTGAACAATGTTGCAGTGTTATAAATATGCAAGTAGTTATGATATTTCAAGCTGATGAATGTATGTTTTAGAAAAGACAGAAGTTTATTTTATGCTGATGTGTGTTTAAAAATAAGTTATAGCGTTTCTTTATTGCCAATTTCATGAAAGGAAATAGTTTGATGCATTATATGATAATGTGACATTTTTTGTATTTTGCAAGTGCACATTGTTAAAAGTAATTCAGAGAGTAATTTTTGGTGCATGCTTTTCTATTGCACTAGGAGGCCTATAGTACAGGAGGAGTAATTAAGCACACTTTTAATATCTCTGAAACCTGAATGTTTTACTTTTGTTGTAATTGCCCCTTATTACTCCAGTTATGATAGGTCATCATCATATCAGCTGTATTGTTAACCACTTACCGTGATGAAATGTGCTCACTGTTCATGAGAACAGTAAAATATGAGTTCTTGAACGTTTAGTCCTCATATTTGAACTTGTTATATTTTGAATGTTGTACAACCAGAACGAATGAGATTTGATTTGATTTAGGATTTATTAGTGACATTTAATTCATTAATAATTGCACTTTGACAAAGGGACTTTTAAGAAGATGCATCCGAGAATGAACTGTGATGAGTGCATTTGACCTTGTCAACAGGTCAGGTTTTTCGAGCGGACAGTGAATTCCAAGGTTGCAGAACGAGATCACAGATGGCGAGCCGCAGGACCTAGGAGAAGATACACGTACCATTCACACATACATTCATCTTTCACTCTCTTGAACCCTTAATATCAGGTGCACCTGCAACAACTCAGGGCCCCAACGGACAATTTCATTTTCTGTGCGCACCACCTTTCTTATATTTTTTCCTTCTTTGTTTTGGGGGTTTATTCAAATATATGTTATGCTAAACTGCCACTTATTCTGTTCTTTGTAAAAATACACAAGTGGTTACTTAAACTTCATTTCTGTGCTCTTCATTATTGTTACTCAACCCTTGGCTCCTATCGAATCTAGAACTTCTGATACTCGCCCTTTTGTCTTATCACAGTACATGATTATTATACTGTAATCTATCTCCACATCGGAAAGTCAGTTACACCATCATTTATTTTTCAACAGGACAATGACCCCAAACACACCTCCAGGCTGTGTAAGGGCTATTTGACCAAGAAGGAGAGTGATGGGTTGCTGCTCCAGATGACCTGGCCTCCACAATCACCGGACCTGAACCCAATCGAGATGGTTTGGGGTGAGCTGGACCACAGAGTGAAGGCAAAAGGGCCAACAAGTGCTAAGCATCTCTGGGAACTCCTTCAAGACTGTTGGAAGACCATTTCAGGTGACTACCTCTTGAAGCTCATCAAGAGAATGCCAAGAATGTGCGAAGCAGTAATCGCAGCAAAAGGT